TTTTTAGACACACACACACACACACACATAGATATATATATATATATATAGCACATTACGAGGTAGAATAGTGCCATCAAATGAGGAGCACGCTGCAATCATTATAATGTGTTTTATTATGAAACATTTAAGCTTAAATTTTGTAAGTAAAATTTATACATATGCCTCACAACTCTTCCGTATTTACAAATCTATCACATAAATTAAGTTCCATAAAACATTTAAGCTTAAATTTTGTAAGTAAAATTTATGCATATGCCTCACAACTCTTCCGTATTTACAAATCTAACACATAAATTAAGTTCCATATTTATATTTATATTTATATTTATGGCACTTGGCATCATAAACCCATACACGAAAATGTGTATTTTACTTCTAAGAATTTAATAACAACGGTCTTTTTTATGTAATGTTAAGGATTTGAATGATATGCATGTAAATATGATCAAAATTTGGGAGTTAGAAATGTAAATACATAAGAATTGTCTGGTATGTATGTAAATCGCTTTTGCTATTGTGTCCCCTATACATTATAATATCACATTTATGCAATACTTGATCAAACCTCTTATGCATTGGGGTTGGTTGGAGTCCCACCATTCTCACCATTTGAATACTAACCTATCTAACATTATATACAATTTTAACAACATGGCTTTGGGTTGTTTAAGAAGAGTCTAGAAGTCTAGATATCACATTTTTGTTTTATTCGGTTGGATTGCAATTTTACCTTCTCACTCAGAGCTTAATGTCTAATTATTTTAAATATCACCAGGTAGCCCTGATTTGACAAACTAGAAAACATATACGTCCATGCCATTCTTGGCATGCTCTGCTCTTATATCATATTATTATAATTATTATGTATCTACTTCGTATGATACTAAACCACTTGGGCTATTATCCCATTTAACTAAAAAAGTTAACTTTAGAGGTGACTTTTTTATATCAAACATGAAGAACATGATTGAATATTCTTAATTAAGTGTTTTATTGGGCCCCTCGTTAAAACTTAAATGATTAACAGAGGCTTGCACTAATGTAAAGCAAGCTCTCCCGCAATGAAATAAACTCTATTAAACATGATATCTTAGGTAAGAAAAATAATTAAGAAATATATTCATTTTTGTCTATTTTCCATTGATGTTTGTGTATGTGAGAAAATATCAGAGATTTAATCTCACCACTATTAGAGTAGTTTACAAACCAATATAGTATATCAATATCATGTGGCTCTTTTGAGCTCAAAACTAAAAGAAAAGAATATGGAGTCAAACCAATTTGCTAAAGCACAATCATAATGATATTGTGAATAACGTTGCCTCGTAAATCCAGATCTAATCTAAGTCTTTTAAGTAAAATAAAATTTTGAAATATGTAAGAATCAATGAGAAACAGTAGAGTGTAATGAGCTTGCATTATGAAATTACAAACAACTTAAGTTTTAAATAATTATAGAAAGATAAAGTTGAGATATATAAAATTTTTTATTCATAAATATGCATAATTTAAAATAAAAATCTAGTAAAATATTAAATTTGATTAATATTAAAAATTTTGGTATCACATTCATTCCCTCATCCCTAACACATTACAAGAGCATTATGCTAAGTTTAGATCAAGATCATATTAGTAATCACTATATGTGTCTCATTAAAATCTCCAAATGTCTATTTATATACATATACATATACATACACACAAATGTGCATGCAAATGCACACATTTGGAATATATATATATTGTTGTTTACATTGGAACCTATTATGAATTCACTTTTATTATTAGTTATTGGGCCTCAAAACATGGTTTCAATTTATTATAATATGATTTGGCTACTATATAAAAAGTAATAAAATATTCTATAATCATAAAATATAGATCTAAACTTTTTTTTAATAATTAATATAACTTGGGTTGTTTGTACATTTATTTATTTTAGTTGACAAGGGATTACAAGAATGGAATTCTAAGCTTATTTGAGATGCATTTTTTATAGCTTTTGAAGGCTATCGACTGGCACTTGGACACCTCATCACTACTCTTCACATTCAAGAGAGGTCGAGAAAGATAGAACCCAATTTTAATTCAATGAAAATATTCATAAAATTGTATGGACTGAGGCTTGGTTGAAGTTGGTTTTAGGGACAAACCTTGTGCCATAACAAATGAAGGTACACGAAAAAGATTTACAAGACTATTTATTCTTCATCGGATGTAATTCAAATGCATCAAAGGTTCTCATCTTAAATTAGAAACATCTAACCATGACCTTTCATTCTTAAACTTGAATAGATTGGCTTTTGTAGTTTGACTTCATTTCAATTCTAAAATATATGGAATCATGGTTTCTTTTTTTATTTGTAGTATTAATGCACATAATAATGGATCTAAACAAATGCTCTTTGGCAAGAAGATAGGAGGTTTAAGCAAGATTTAGGTTGGCTAAATAAAAAATAGCTATGTTTATTTGTTCACAAAGGTTAGAAGGGTAGAAGATGATAGTTGAGTGTGTTCAAGAGAAGAAGGATTACCAAGTGTTTTCATACTATGAGTAGGGTCAAAATGAGTTGTAATATCTAAAATATTCAACATAATGAGATTTTTGGACTTCCCATAAGCCTTACCTCAATACATTTGTTATAAACTACTGCAAACTGTTAGAATATTTAGTTTGTTCTCCATGTGATGAAGTAGGATGATATTCCTTGATTTTCAACAAGGCTGTGAATAGATCTCATTAGTTTCCTATCCTTTACCATGACTTCAGTAGTCCTAATTATCAAAAGAGTGAGTACCAGATCATACGCATATTGTAGGCTAATAAGTCTATACGAATTTTAATAAGATAGACATCAAGTCCCTTTATAAAAGAGAGAAAAAAGCACCGACATTGCAAGAACTAAATCATGAAATTATCAAAGGTAATGTATCACAATAATCATATGACTGAAGTATATGAGCAATATCATACTATTCAAATCATGTTTCTTGATGAATTTGCATGCTTATCAGACAAAAATTGATTGGGGCAATTATACAAAATCATACGTGTGCATTAAGCTTTCTTTCTCTCTTAGTGTCTACACATCAATACAACTTTTGACATTTTAATTAGATAGCATAACATTTCTCAAGCTCATGATAACATCAATCAGCAAACTACACCTTGTTAGTCTTCATGGTCAAGTAATTAGCTTCTTTAAATCTATAAAGAAGCTAGACCTTTTGAAGACATGAAGCAATCTGTTTTGCCATTCCAAGATGCATGCCTGTGTAAGGTCCTACTTAATCCACAAGTTCATAGAGTATGACATCAATGTTTTGAATCCATTTTGTTTTATGTTATCAAAAGAAGGGACATTTACATACATATCATATGATTCTTATGTATTTATATATTTAACACTTAAACATTCATATTTACACCGCTCAATTCTTTAACATCAAAGCAAAAATACAATCATCACTATCTTTTTAAAAATGAAACATGTTTCCATGTATATGTTTATGACCTCAATGTGTTACAAATATATATAAATATCAAATTTTGGTGGTTAGATATGTATATAAAGATTGAGTGCAATGCACCTAAATTTCCCAAAAAAATGAATGCTTTATCATATATTTTAAAGAATTATGAAATAAATAAATAGAGTTTTATACTTTGATAATTTCATTACGTGTATTTTACATATTAGACTTTCATATTTATGAAAAATAATCATTAATCTATCTCATTTTGGTATACCAAAAAGAAATTTTGATAAAGATATTTTAATAATTTAAACTTCAATAAAATAATCTATATTTTTTGTTTCAACTTTTATAACAAAATTCATGTAATACATGTATGTATTAATGCATCCTCTATATGGATACATTTAAGAGAAAATCTATTGTTCAAAATAAGAAGATGTTAAGTACATGACTATACATTAATGTTAAAAAATTAGAAGCTACAAAAGAGTATCAAAACATACTCATATCTCGCATGAATCTGTCTCCGACCGACCAAATACGACGTAGCGGTTGTTCGCAACGCCATCATAAGCAAAATCCCTCAAAAACCTACAAGAAATCATGAAAGAAGACCAACACTATAGTTTATTTCCAACAGGAATCCATAAGCACGGCTTCATTATTGAGAAATGACTTACAGAGGAAACATCTTGAGCAATGAAGCAAGTTGAGGAAAAGGGAGATCAAGATACTCCATTATCTTTATCACTGCTTCAGACTTGATGTATGATCTGCAAGTAAAATGTAAGAAACAAAAGAATATGCAAGTAAAATGGCGTCGTGTTCCCAGATCAGTTGGTAGAACATCCGCTTTCCACAGTGTAAATGCCCTTTGGTCTGAGGTTCGAATCCCGCCGCTGGCGACTGTTGACTTAAAGAGGGGGTATCCAAATATTTAGGTACAAGGGTCGCCGGTTTGACGGGTGTTGAGCCAATAAGGTGGGTTGAGGACCTAACGCCCCAACCCGTTATTTTAAAAAAAAAGAAAAAACACCAGTGATTATATATACCACATATTTACATATCTAATAACTAAACCTTCATATTTACATGCATAACAATCAAATCCTTAATATTACATCAAAAAGTACCACTATTACTGAAATACGCCTTTGCATGCATGGGTTTATTACAACCAAGGGTTATAAATATAAATACCAAACTAAAGTATTAGATATGCAAATGAGTTGGGATTATGTGGTGTCTACGTAAATTTCACTTAGAATAATTACCTGTACTGCTCCACTAAAACCACACTCGAAATATCATCAGGAGATCTCCCTGATCTTTGTAGAAGCCTTCTTCCACCTTCGCTCTGAAGCGGTTGGAATCTTATTCTTCTGCTCAATAAAAACCAAAAGTTCAGCATAAATGATAAACATGGCAAATTTCTTGGTCAGTTTCCTCAATGATTTCAGTTTCGTAATGTTATTTGTAAGCAAAGTATGCTCCGGAAAAAAACTTAAATTTTGTGTTAACTAATTTCCGAATAGTTTATAGTGAAATTTAGTTATATTTGAGTCTGATCAAAAAATAAATAACTATTAGAATTGTATCGTCCAAGAGAAGGTATGCTTTATTTTACAAATCTTAACTTCAAATAGGCTGGAAAGAATTATTTATGAAAAATATCATTCATGGAAATGAAAAATTATTGTATCGGGAGTCCTGATGCAGCTTTGCATCAAGATTCCAATTAGGGTATGCCACGTGTGCAAAGGTGGGCCTTCTGGTACACGTGACAGACCCTGTTTGGGTCCTAATGGAAAACTGCATAAGGACTCCTAATGCAATAATTTTTCCATGGAAACATTCAATTGAAAAAACAATAATTTAGATAGCAAAACAAATTTCATACAAAAAATCTTAATTCATTAATTTTTGGCCATGAACTTGAATTTTAGTTTGATACACAGCAGTAAAAAAATATGTTTTATATGGTAATAATGTTTTTATATTCTGTTAGTAAACATAACAATCATTCTTTCACTAAGCATAAAGTTTATGTGAAGCACGAATTTCGAAGCACCTAAGAATCAATTAAAGAGTAATTTGATTTGATTTGAATGAACTGATGTGCATACAAGTCCAAACTAATTTCATCAACATCAAGCAACCATGAAATCAAATTCTTCTTTAAATCATTACACATGCATCATTAAATTTAGAGATGAGCAACACACGAGAAGGTGGAGTATTTGAATTATTGTGTTCATTTGAATTTAAAAAAATATGAATGAATAGAATAAACTTAAAATATTATATATATTGTTGGTCCTGTGAAATCTCTATGGCAGACAAACCAAATTCTAATGTCTGTATCATGACAATACTAACATGAAAAAGAACCAAGCAACATAAATGTACAACAGAGGAAAACCAAAATGTCATTTAAAATACCACAACTCAAAAAAGTAACTAAACAAAATATCACAACAAACCACGAAACTACCACCACCATATCCACACATAAAAAAACCACCATAAAAAAGTAACTAAACAAAATATCACAACAAACCACGAACACTACCACTACCATGTCACTAAAAAATCACCACCGACATCCACACACACCACCACCTCCATGTCATAAAAAAACCACCATAAATATCCGAACGCACCACCAATATCACCACTAACAGCACCATCAAAATCACCGCCACCTTGACACCAAAAAAGTACCACCAACATCCACACAAACTACCAACAACACCACCAACACGACACAAATAAAAAATCACCAACAATATTACAAACGACATCACAAACATCACTCCACAATATCACCAAAAAACTACCACCAGCATTCACACACACACCAACAGCACCACTAACAACGTCATCACCATAGCACAAAAAAACCACCCCCAGCATTCATACACGCCACCACCAGCACCAACACCATGTCACCAAACTCCCCCACCCTATGGCACAAAAAAACCACACTCAACATGCAAACACACACACAACCAACATCACCACTACCCTCGCATAAAAAAAACTATTACCAACATCCACACACACCACCAACAACACCACCAACAGCACGACCAACATGACACAACATTACTACCAACAGCACGATCATCATAACACAAAAACCACCCTCATCATCCACACACCACCAATAGCGCAACCACCAGCACCACCACCATGTTACCGCCGCCCCCACCCCCCACTCCGGCGCCAACACAAAAATCACACCCAACATCCACACGCATGACCATGGCTTAACATCACAACCAACAACACACGCCACAATGGCACAAAAAAAGCATCACCCACGCCACCATTATAAACATCGCAACCAACATAGCATTGTCTAATCCAACAAAGAGGGCAAACTGCCAACAAGAACCAACCGACAAGTAGAGCACCAAGTCTACTCCAATTGAACAAAAAATAAACGAGGGAAGAGCCTCCAATTGAGCAAGCCACATCGGGCAAAAATGTTTTTCTTTCCAGCAGAGGCTAACAAATTGCAAAAGCCGAACTGCACAATATGAAATGCCAACATTGGCTTAGGGCCTCAAATCATTCACTTCCCACATACCCTTCCAAAATATAACAAAAAACACAAGTCGAACAAGGGAAACTATCAGAAATCGCAAAGAGACTCACATAAAAACCTTCCAACATAGACGGTAGAGCAAAAACTGCACGGGCAACGAAATAAAAACCAGAAACCACAAATGGACCAAAGCCACAAATTGCAAGGAGCAAGCCACAAATGACAAATCTCAAACCAGAACCTAAAATATCAACACCAATAGTGTAGGGTAGAGAATACCGTAAGGGAAAATGGGAGAGTGCCACCGGAACCGGATTTTAGAGAGAAGGGAGGAAGGAAGGAGAAGAGAGATGCCACCATAACCGCCAAACACAGTTAGGGGCGAGAGGAGGAAGAGCTAGGGCAGACGATAGCAAGAGAAGCACGACAAGGGCGCGGGGTCGAAAAGAACACGAGGTCAGAGAATCACGGGGTCTAACATAACGTGACGAAGGGGTAATAACTTTTCGCAAACAAAACACGGGCCCGCGATGTACTCAAATTATCCCAAAAATCAATCGCAACATTTTTTTCAAACACACAAAGTTGCCTTTAGTTATCACACCACAAGTAATAAGTTGCCCAAAACACACCCTGAGTAACTTCATCTTTGACAAATTTTTCTAAATTTAGGAATAAGAAACTATACAATAATAAAAATAATTGCATATTTACATAGTCTAATATCATCCAAGTTTTGTGGTGTTTGCTACACATTTAGGGTATGATCTTATAAAGATCCAAGTCATTCTTGATTGGCTAAACCTAACAACTAGCTTCCGCGTTTGGAGTTTCCATTACTTGACTACCTTATACCTATAGTTCACCAAAAACATTAGTATTATTGTTGCACTAGTTATGATTTATTGGATATGTATATATATATATATATATATATTATATATATATATTACATAGACACCATTGCCAATAAGGCTTTCAAGACAACAAAATCTTGATGACAACTTCCTTAATTCATGCCCCCTTGTGATGCTTTGAATTTGAGCACGGAAGGCGTTCTTAGTTAACAACTGAATAAAGCAAAACAATGATACTCCACTTAAAATTATGAGTTTTGTGCTCTCATTCAAACACTTCACCACTAAAATTACTCTTTTTTTGCCCATAGAGTTCATGCAGTCATTCAATTATGAGGTGCTTAAATTCATGAACTTCTAGAAGATGAGTAATTATCATGAATGTTGGATAGAGTTCCTTCAGGAGGAATACATCTTTGTCCTGAAGCACACCCCTAACATTTAGAACAAGGTAGCTGAAACAGTTTCATCACACATAACTTTGCTTAAGATCCATGTTTTAGGATGTAATTGGAATAAAGATGGATACAGCACTGGTTCTAATTTTCATTTGGTATATCACAAGCATCAAAACACACCTCTTCTACACTTGACCGCTTACCTTGTTTCAAAAGGACAATGCTTTCATGAATTTTGTATTTGCTACACTTCCCTTAACGAGTACAATTAGAAAAAAAAGTTGGTGTCAAGCGGTCAAGCCTAATCATATTGGGCACTATAAAACCAAAGTCTTTCTTGAGGATAGGTTTTATTAGCATTTTTTGCAACAAAATGCGACCCTATTAACAGGTTAGTGACATACCTACCAAACAAAAATAGTAAACAAATAACAAGAAGCCAATAAAACATACTGGAAGTACCTTCCCATCCTTGGATGGATCTTTCAATGGAGTTCATTTTAGGACTACCATTGACTCTGTGAGGCCACAACGATATTATGATTGTTATTAATAGGTGTTTCAAAAGAGCATATTTTATCTCTTACACTAGAAAAATTGATGCTTATCAAGCAATTAAACTATTTTTTCGAGTGAATTAAATTACATGGGTTTCCTCCTGCTGTCGTCTTTGACAAAAATGTTAGAATTTTCCCAATTCCACCCCCAGATAGGTGATCAGACCAAGTTCTTCAATAGTAGTCCAAATAACCTTCTTAGCAATCCATTCATAAGAATGTTACCAATTAGAACTTACACTTTCTTACAGCTAAGTGTGTGTGTGTGTCTGTTTTTTTTATTTTATCATTATTATTATTATTATTATTATTATTATTTTTTTTTTTTTTGACAAAACAATAGGTCGTTACCCCTTAAGATTGTGCATGGCTTTAACACTGAGAAGCCTGAAAATTTTACTCCCTTGCATCATAAGTATATTCTAACTCTATTGTATATTTTATACATGGTTTACATGACCTGCATGTATAGGCACAAAAATAGATAGAATCACAAAATGGAAATACAACAGCATTGCAAATGCAAAGAGTAAGTTTGTAGGTATTATACAAGCAAGATTCAGACAAATCTAAATCCACCAATTGATGATTTGCAATTCAATTGAGTCAGGTCGATGGCAACCGGCACAATGAAGAAAAATTGATAGACTTTCAAAGTTTAAGGAGATATCCTCTCCCCACTTGCATTTAGTTAGGATTTTAATTCTTTGCAATATAAATGGAGATAATCCAATCAATGAAAAATCAAATTCCAGATTTTAAGGTTTTATATTTCAGATCTCTCCTCCAATCTCCTCGCCATCACTCCTCTCTCATTTGGTAGGTGGCTCTGAAGCCAAACAATACAGTGCACACCTCTCCTCTCAATCTCTCTTCCTCACTCTACAGCAAGTATCGAAAGTTCAAAGGCTATGGCAAACGTTGTTCACTTTAAAGAGCCCAAATTATCAAAAATATGTTTCAAAACAATAAATTAAGATAATGTCGGCATGTTTCCATTTATTTGAAACAAATTATAACTGTGAGAACAGTAAAAAAAAAGAATGGAATCACTTATGGGCTGATCCATAATTCCTCGCAACTCTTGGATCATTTGACCAACCCATACCCATCTCGATGAGTTTCTTCTTGGCAATATTCAAGCAATATCCTCTCTCCTCTCCACCAACTCTTTCTCTAATCAATCTTGCTTCCTTCCAGGAGCATCGGTGAAAATCAGAGAACAAAGGCAGACATCATTGCATGTAGAACAAAGCCAGAAAAATCCATGAAGATGAAGATTGGTTGAAACTTGGTCTAAGGTATCAATTTTAAATTCATGCAAAAGCATTTTAGGTAGAAAATTTTCATGTGGCTTTGAATCATTGTGACCATGCTTTTGAATCATCTTTTTGTTTCTCCCTCACAACCATCAAGTGCTTGCACCTCCAATTAAGGTCAACCGTTCTCCTTTGCTTGGTGATTTTGAACACAAAACGAAACACAACATTTCATTAAAATTCTTTCATCCACGCCAAAAGAAACAATAAAAAGATCTACTAAAAAATCCATGATATAGCGAAATCATAAAATTTGCCGACAATTTGAATATTTACTCACACACGTACAGACGCATGTACACACATGAGCATGAACGCACGAGGGAGCAGAGAATGAAGAAAACAAAATGATTTTTCCTATATGAAACTAGTACCAAAATATCAATAATTATATCATCAAACTGACAAAAATTTAAACTGTTTCTGAAGAGAAAGAATAACTTATATACATAGAATCTATATTAAAAAAAATGAAAGAACATTTCAATTAACATTTACCATTCTCAAAATTTCTATACAATAATAAGAAAACAGTAGCCAAACGAATGTCTGGCAGCGGCCTAAAAAGTAAAGTAACAAAAAAGACTTCCCAAACAAACCCTAAGAATGTGGTTGGCAGCTTGCAGAATTGAGGCTGGATGTGTTTAGCTCAACCAAGGTATGTCCATGCTAGACCAAAAGCATGACAATGACTTCAATGAAATTACGTTTTGCAAATAAAGGATATCTTGACCTTGAAAACACTAGGAAATGGTGTAGGAATGTTTGTGCTTGAGTTCTAGTGTTCATAAGATTTTTTCAAGAAATTTAAGATAGTAAATTGGAATCCTAATCAAGACTAGTTCTACATCCTAATCCGATTGACTCGACACATGGCCCTATTTCCTTAAAATTTTCTTATGACAAACGATTGGAAACACTTGGCAGAGGTGTGGGGATGTTTATGTTTGAGTTGAAGAGTTCATAGGATTTTTTCAAGGGATTTCATGAGGTGAATAGGAAGCAAAAGCAAACTAGGTTATTGAGATTTGGCCTAGTTTCTTTAAAATATTTCAAAACACATGGTTGGATTTCTTTACATAAAGTGAGCGGAGCTCTAGAAGAAGCAAATACAAAACTTTAATTGAGAACTTTAGAAGACAAGATTGTAAAACATTAACTCATCGCCAAAGGACATGTGTCTTGATCATCAAGCCGGAAGAATTAAAAGTTTGAAAAACACTTATACAATTCATAAAATGCTCTGAGCACAAATCTAAGGATGTGCAAAACTTGATATGCAGTTCTCTCACCAATTTTTCCTAAATACCACAGAATTCTTATTTATTCACATATCTAACACCTAAACTTCAATTTTTGCATACATGCCACCTTCTCTGTGCATGAAAAAAGGTGCATTTCAACTTTTAAAATTTAAAATGATGGCATTTTTATGTGATATGAAAGATTTGAGTGAAATAAATGTAAATATTAAAGTTTTAGTGTTAGATGTGTAAATACATAAGAATTGGGTGGTATTTATGTAAATGTAAATGCCCCGCCATTTAACAAGAGATAAGAGAAAATAAAAAGAAAGATTTACATACATAACACTCGATTCTTATGCATTTACAAATCTAATACCTAAACTCAATTTTGACATATACGTCATGGTTGAATTCAAAAGTGTTGGGGAACACATCCAATGTATAGAATATTACGCAGAGAGAGTTAAAATATACAAAATTACAAGCCAGTCCCACCATCATTAGCTTTTAGAGAGGTTTTTTAGTAATTATAAAGATATTTGAATACAATAAAACTGGCAAATTGATGTCAGTCGGCAAGAAGTTCGTCGACCATTCTTCTGACCTTAACTCCATCGATATTTGATCTAAAACTCAACAATCTATTGATTGGTCTTAAGGTCAATCATCATCTAGTACGAAATCCTTTAGCACGTCCTTACGGTCGATCATCCAAACGCCTTCCTTGCTAGAATTAATCCTTCGATTGCTAACAAGAATGTCGATCAATCGCGTCATCCTTCTGAATCGCCTTTGAGATCTGTGCTGGCATATTTTTTTTGTACAATCACGTTGCCTATATTTTAGACAGAGTTTGGTAGTGTATTATTTATAGGATTCAATCATGAATTTAGCTTAAATCCAACCAAACACCAAATAAATAAATCCAGCGCTCAGTAAAATCTAAATTTCTCGCGTTCCATCTAATTCTCCTTGCGTTCCATCAGTTTGAGAGGTTAATCCGGATTTCATAAATCCAATTTTGAGCCAGATTTATTCCGCCATTGCTCGCAATCTCTATCTTTCACCGACTCGATTTGATAAATCCAAATTTATCAGATTTAATTAATCTTATTTAACGTAAATCTAACATGCAGCCAAACACCACCTTAATATGTGAAATAAAAGGTAAAATAGTGATATTTGTTATGTGACAAAGATTTGGGCAGTATGAATATAAAAACTAAAGTTTACATGTTAGACAGATATGTAAATACATAAGAGTTGGCTGGTATGTATGTAAAAATAAGGAAATCAACACAGAACCGAACCTATTGCGGTCGTTCTCTCTCACGAACCGGACGCCCCCGTTGCAAAGGTTGCACACGCCTAGCACAAATTGGAGGGATACATTTAAAACCAGGGTGAGGAAAACAAACAAACAGTTTGCAGGCATAAATACTGAGGACTCAAATATAGCTTTACCATCGAAGAGCATGATGGGTCTGGTGTCGTCTTGGAAGAACTCAGCGCCGCTGCTCCTCGCCATATCGCCGGCGGAGAGCGACGACTGTGGAGCGGCGTAAGCAAGACGCCTGCGGTTAAAGAGCACTGCAGGGACTGCAGAACAGATCGGCGGGCACGAAGACCGAAGGAGGAGAGCCATGAAGGGCTAGTGAAGACGAGGAGGACGAAATAAGAGGAAGACTCTAGTTTACTCCCATTTGTCCGAAAAAATACTAAGTGGCCTAAGTGCTAAGCGGGACCATTGAATATTTGTGGCAGCTTTCATTAATACATCAGTACTTCTGAGATAATATTTTTTCTTACATATATTTGATATTTGTATTGTGATGGTATTATCACTAAAAAAACACCTTCCTATTAATGAGATTTAGGAATTTAACTTACATCTAACCAAACACCAAAAAATAAAAAAATAAAAAATTAAATCTAACGCTCCATAAAATTTAATTTTATCACGTTCCGTCTTTTTCTTCACTTATTATATTTTTTATACAACATAAATTCATACTTAGTAAATTCAATTCCGAGACAGATTAATTCAATCGTCGTTCGCGAGCAGAGCGGCTCTCAGTGTAGCTTTTGATATATCTGGATTTATCGAATTTGATAAATCTCATTTAACGTAAATCTAAATTGCAATCAAGCACCATCTTAGGATGACATTTAAAAATATGTTTATTTAGTGTTTTTTTCTTTTATGATTTTGTATTCTATTTTAAAAAATAAATTTATTTAAAAAAAAAACACTCAATTTGTTTAAAAATTATTTTCAGTGTTTTTAAAAATAAATAAACATGTTATAAGATGTCATATATATTTTATTTCAAGTAAGAATATATACAAAATAAATTAAAAATTAAGAATATATACAAAATAAATTAAAAATTAAAAGTGGTTCCAAATTTAAGTTTTTGCATTCTCTTTTTATTTATTGCAAATTTCATTGAACTCCGCACGTAACTCTACGTGCAGAGTTTTGATGAAATATTTTTTCATGTGTGTGTTAGAGAGAGAAAATTTCTTCCGAACAATGACATACAAGGATTGATGCAGAACATTTTACATCAAATTATCCCAATCTCACTAATTAAAAAAAAAAAGAATTGAAGATTTCATCAACAGCCATAATAGCTTCATCACAAGATTAAAATTAAGGAAACAAAAGCTTCATCAACAAAACTTAAAATAAAAAAAAAACAACCAAATTTTTAAAAAAAAGAAAACATTTAAAATTATACGCATGATTAAATTTAAAATTTTAAACAATTTTTAAAATTAAAACATTTTAAAATTACACTTCAATTACACAAAAGCTTATGTATTTACAAATCTAACACCAAAACGTTTTACATTTATACCACCCAAATTTTATACCACAATGCAAAAAAATAAAATTTAAATGTTTAATATGTAAATACATAGGTATTGAGTGTGGCATGCATGTAAATATTCCAAAAATAAATAAAAAGAGTATCCTAATATTTTGGTCAAGATATATTTCAATATTTTCGAATATATTCCTAATACAACATATGAAAAATCAATCAATTATTATTATGAAACCCAATCCAATTAAATTTAATTAGCCAGAATACCTTCCCACAATTTCTACAGATATGCATGCCACCTAATTCTTACGTATTTACATATCTAACACTACAAACTTTCATTTTTCTTTTTTTTAAGGAACGACCAAATGCTATTATACGAGCCTCCAACCACCCTTAATGTGTCTAACAATTCAAGTACCGCCTCCTTAAGGTCAGTTGTGCCAGAGAGGACTCGAACCACTGACCTGATGCCAACCAACAGGTCAGGGTACGAGGCACCACTTAACTTACATAATTACATGCATAAGTGCTATAAAAACTGATGAAATTTTAGATATTAGATACGAAAGTACATGGAATTATAAAACAGTAGAAACCTTTTAGAAATTCAACCACCAATAAGGGTGAAAATGGCTTAGTAATAAAACAGTGATTTACCACGTAAATTTTGCAGAAAACTGAGGGTAATCATTCATACATGTATAATGGGGCACTATTCCGACAACATAAGATGAATGCTGAACTCCAATGCTTCCGCAGTCAATGGTGATACAGATAACTGCTGCTGGTTTACTGTGCTGAAATCTGAAATCTGAAATCTTTTTATTAGAAGATAGCAGAAACTGAATTGTTGTCAATGATTCAGTCATGCCGAATAGCTCTGGCAAAGAGAAGAAAAGCGAGAAAATCGGCACATCTTGAAGAGTAAATGACTCAAAACATAGAGAGCAAACAAGAATGTTGAATGAGCAGAATAGTTGTTGACAGATTGACTCAACTAGCATAAGAAATTGGGCTGTTTACATGCACGGCGCCCGAAACATTGCTATTTACGAATCTAGCAAACTCTTTCGTCCATTTTTTGAATTCTCACTCAAATATCAAGATTCATTATGAAATCACAACCTATGTTTTTCATTTTGATCGAATTCTAATGGTTTGATCGTGGCATGCGTAAATACATCGGTTAGGTAGTTCAAAATAACAATGTTTCAGGTGCTATGTATGTAGCTATCATTAAGAAATAATGAATATGATGTCATCAAACCTGCTTGTCATTCAATGTTCATAATACTGTAACAATGGCCCAACATATTATAAGACAGACATTTCTTTTTAGGGAGAAAAACAGTGATGAATGTAAAACGTATAAAAAACTACTTATACGAGCCTTCAACCACCCCTAATGTGTCTAACAATTCGAGTACCATCTCCTTAAGGCCAACTATGCTAGAGGGGATTCAAACCCCCGACCTGAGGGGTCTTATAGCGTGGATGTCAACCAACAGGTCCGGGATATGTGGCACATGTATAAAGGGCTACTTAAAAAGTCTATTTAACGAGCATCTCTTGACAATCAAAATGATCAAATGAAGTTCAGTATGGTCAATATAATATGAATTTAATGCCAGCCATTTAAAAGACTTTACTCACAAGCATCTTGCAATGAAAATCAACCACCAAGATTATATTGATGCAGCAAAAATGCAAATCAAATTATCTTGAAAGTTCATGTAGTCATGCCACTATTTTAAATGTTGCATTTAAAGGTTAGGGGTAATGAAATTGACACCACAAAACTCCGGGATTTCAAGAGGAGGTTGCAATGCTCTCTACTGATTGAAAAAAAGGCAAGATAAGATGGTAGTATTCTCACAACTTGGCATCAAATGTCTGCTAGAAGGTCAAAGGTTAAGCCCTACCAGCCTTTCTAACTATGTTATCCTAGCAAATTATCCTCTTCTTGATAATTTGCGAGACAAATAATTACTTAGAAATGTCAAAAAAAAAAAAAAAAATCTCCAACAGATTATATATTGATGGATTCATATTAATGTAGGGGCAGAAATATTTTCGAAACAACAACAACCACAACAACAAGCCTTTATCCCGCTAAGTAGGGCCGGCTACATGAATCATTTTTCTCCGTTGTGTCCTATTGAGTGTCATATTTTTATTTAATTCTAATAAAATAAGATCATTTTTATATATCATGTCCTAGTCTTTTTAGATCCACCTCTATCTTTTTTTTAAAATAAGTTGAATTTAGAACATCTACTCTACTGACTAGGTCATAATATGATCAAAGTTTAATGTGACAAAATCATCTAAGGTGACTCTCTCTAATATTCTGCCATTGGAGCTACACTAACCCTTTCACGAATGTATTTGTTTCGCATTTTGTCTGTAAGTCTAAAGCCACACATCCACCCAACACTTAGTTTTACGTCTCTCTTTTATAGGCAACATTCGGCACCATAAAGCATTACAGGTCTCACTAGCATCTTATAAAACTTTCCTTTAAGTCTAAGCGGTACTTTTCTATCACAAAATAGGCCCGATACATTCCTCCACTTCAACTATCAAACCTGAATTCTACTAATAACATTTTCATCTATATTACCATCACTTTGAACAATAGACCCGATATATCTAAAATATTAACTCTTTTTAATGACTTGATCATCCATTATTACAACCCCACCACAAGATCTGTTACTACTAAATTTATATTTCATGTATTCAGTCTTAGATCTACTCAAACAAAAGCCTTTAGACTCTAAAGTCGACCTCCATAATTTAAGCTTTGTCTAAATGCTTTCTCTAGTTTTATCCATAAGAAGGAGATCATCAGCAAAAAGTATACACTAATGCACATCATCCAGTAAATGCCTGGTAAGAACATCCTCCATTAAATATAGTAAGATTTATTGAATAGCATATCAAATATTTATATTAATCTTTTTTAAACTTAACTGACATACATATTGTTTTACTTTTCTCTTGTATTACTGTAGTTTAAGAGTGAATATTTATTAGTTTTGATTAGCTCACCTTTAATTTAAACAAAGTTTTCAGGTATAATTAAGAGATATAAAAGATGAGCAAAAGAAGAAAAAATACTTATAGAAGACGCGGACAACCAATAACGAAGTAAATTTAAATATATTATTTTAATTTAATTTGATTAATAACATTTTCATTTATTAAATGGTAAATGGATATAGAAAACTTAGTTCCCACCGTCAAACCGTATGGGTCGAGTCATAACAGTTTCATCTTTAGAGAATTTCTACAATTGCAGATGCTGGCACGAAGGAAAGTAGCAAGGCAAAAAATTTAAATATGCATCTTTTTTTAAAATCTAGAAAAAGATCTAAATATTCTAGTAGCCAGATGAGATCAAGTGAGCAGCTTCCTTCCAGGTTAAGAATGAGAAGCACAAGGCGGCAACTGATGAAGCATGGGCGTGAACGAGGAGAAGCAGTAGCAGCGAAGGGAAGTGAATAGGCCAAATGGTTGCACCACAATGATCTCTACATGATTAGCACATGTAAAAATTATGCAGTAGTAATTGTTTGTCTGTTGGTGACGGAAGATTATGGGAAGAAATTTAGGAAAAGAAATTTATTAAATTTTAATAAAAAGATTTGGATGAGACTTCTTAACCTCTGTATAGACTCCATCTATTATTTTTGCAAAATAGAGGGTGTCAATGTGTCTTGGATGCTAAAACTACCAATAAAGGATCCCCAAGCTTGGTCTGATCAATCAAAAATAAAAAAGAAAAAATAGACACCGCGAAATCGTGTAAATTGAATTTGAAAGGCCTTGACTGTAATTAAAACCACTCAAAATATTGTCCGTACACAAAGCAAACTGTTGACACACCCAAAATGCCATAATTTTCTAAGACACTGGAATTTGCTACAAAGGAAAAGGACGAATTTTGCTCAAAAATGAGGATAAAAAATGAAATCGATGGGCAAAAGAAATAAAATCCATGAGAAATGAGATAAAAAAAAAATTACCTAAAAACAAAGCGACAACACAACATTGATTCGAATAAGTGTGCGCCGCAAAAATCACAAGGGGCGATCAAAGTTTTTGTGAGAGGGAATGATAATATACATAGATTATCATTATCAAAATTTAAATTAAGCTAAACTAGGTAAAAAATCTACAAATATCAAAAAATTATATATCATACCTCTGAACCTTGCCAAGCAGCTGTCCTATCTTATCAAGAATCCACATGAAAACTTGCCCATACTTCCTCTACACAAGCCCCCTCTCTCCTTACATGACACAGCTACTAGTGACTTGAACCCTGTCACCCTCTCTCTTGATCTCTTGACAGCTTCTCCCGCCTCTTCCCTCATCTCTTTCTCGCCATTCTCTTTGATATCACTCTTCACCCATCTAATTGATACCTACCCACCTGACTCTCTCACCTACTCTCCTAAACCTTTGTCATTCAACACTGTATCCTCTCGTACCAATTTGTAGGCAAGCTCTCAGTGACAGCGCTCACTGCTCTTTTACATAGCCAGCAAAATCAATGATAATCCAAATCCACAAACAACTCTTCTCCCACTGAAACCTACTCCCCCTCCATATTTCTCCATCCAACTCCTCTGTACATTGACCAGCTCTCCTTGTCATGACACCAACCCTTCCAGAAACTGGTATAACTTGGTAGTTTAAAAAAAAATCCAAAATTTTATGAAATTGGAAGTTTTCATCTGAACTGTTTGGCAAGTTTTAAGTTTAATATTCCTTAAATCTTACTCATATTAATTTAGCACATCATGTCGATAATTCAAATCAGCTCACTTGACTCATTATAGGAGCAACAACAAAAGTCCAAAAAAAAAACAAATCCATTAACATAACTCGTTTCAAAGCCCATAACAAGGCCTAATATTTAAATCACTTAAATATAGGCTTATTTTTATTTTTTTATTTTTTATTTTTTTGCATTTTAAAATTTCCTTCAAATCATGTATGGTCGGCCACCTTAGTGAAGTAGCCAAAAAAAAAAAAAAGTTCTTAATAAGACTATTAGAAATCTCATACTTAAGCCCGACCTATCCCTTTCCCTCAAAATTTCCCCTCCAAATTAAGGAAGCTATAGGATTAATTTTGGCTTACCAAATAAGGCCTAAATGAAACTTTTAGTGTTGAATGCAATATTTTTGTTTGAATACTCCACTTTGTTTAGAGCTTGCGGCCTTAAATAATACCAGTCTTTTGTGAGAATTGATTTATTATTATCATTTCTATTTTTATTTGCCACTTACATAAACACCTACTCTAAATCATCCAATCATGTTTCTTAACAACCTAAGCTATCTCTACGACCAGCTACCAATCAACTCAAGCCTCAAAATTACCTCAAAATACCACATAAGAGCCTTCAGCCAACTTAGGTGAGACTAGGACTGATTTTGCTCCCTACTACTTGACATTCTTCTAAACTCCATCTATCTTATCTCATAAGAATGCATCTAAAACTAATACTCTGCAAGTAGTTCCACTCATTTATCTTGCCTAAAAATCACAAAAGTGATCTTCCAAAACAGCCCACATTAGTCCACTCTAAACTAGTCTTAATATTCAATCCTCTCTAACACTTCAACTCCATCAACACTTAAGAAACTTGAAGCGCATTTTCTATAAAAATTAAGCTAGAGATTCAGACTTTTATAACTTCAATCTCACCAAGAAAAAGTCGCCTATAAACATCATATTTAGCATCAAAACAAATATGAGAAGTGAATCTAGTCATAACTTTTGGACAACCAAAGAAACATTTTTTATGGTTGACATGCCTCCAAAAGCTTGTGAGTCTAATAAGTTTGAGATTAGTGAATCACT